AATCTCATTCTATTGTCCCTCTTAACTACTGTATGTAGCCATTATAATAGGTAGAAGGATGAAAACAGCTGCTTCCATTCCAGCCATGGCCCCAGTCATCGGGTACATAGATGGATGGCTGAGAATGGTTGGTCTGGATTCTCACCACAGGGTGTCCGTTATCTAATCTGCACATACAGTATCAAATTAGAACACCAATATATTTATTCCATTCCTCTTTGAATGATTAAATCTCAGAAACCAGCTGAGGCCTCAAGAATGATTAATGTACCCAGGCTGAAATGAGAGTGCCTCTGATAGTGAGATAATGAGAAAAGGAAAGAAGACAAGGAAGCACAAAGAGATTATTTATTCAAATGCAAAAGAACAGGCCGAAACACAGGTATCCTAAATTAGTGTTAACCATCTTGAATTCATAGCATGGATCACTGCAGTTGTTCAACTTTTACTGGTCATCTTATTCAGCTTGGGGACTGCTGATGGAAATGTCCTTCATTTAAACAACTCTCATTACGAGTGAAATAATGAAATTGGTAGTAAGACTTGAAATTACATTTACTACAAAAGTAAGCACAGAGAAGGCATGGCAGTAAAGGTTTACAGCTAAGTTCATTTGCTGTGCTGTACTGTAAGTCCTGCAGCCTAGAGAGCATAAGTGCACTTTTCAATCTCTTCATAGTTACAGCTGCACAGTGAACATTAGCTGGAGGCAGCTGAACATATAGTATATAACAAAACTCAGTACACCCCTGTACCATATCACTACAACCTTAAATGATTCAAAACTGTACCATCTTATTTTGTCTTATTTGATATGTAATAAAAAAAAAACTGGCTAAACAGACTAAATACATATGGGCCTCAACATGTCAATGTGATCATTGTGATTATTGCAACAAAAGGCAATTTACCTGTGACTGCTGCAACACAAACAATTGTGCCTGTGATTTCCAAACCATTTTCCATTCTTTATTAAAAATAGGGTGTCGTGTCCAATAACATCACTGATGACAGTGCTCAGAGTGAACCAAAACAGCAAAGTTGTGGACTATAGAATGAAAACAGTGAAGGATGCTAAAAGCCCAGCTGTAAGGAGAACTTCAGAGTCCAATGACAAACTAATTCTCATTCAAAAATATGAGCATCACCTTTCTCATTTTGCTGCCCTCATTACTGTAGCTTTAAATCTGCAATAATGGCCTTTTTCACTGCCTGGGGACTCAATATTGACATATCTTCACCTTTTAAGTTGAATTTGTGAACCTGTCAGCAAGCAGTTGCTTATTTACACACCCAGCAGTTACAGAGCATTATTGCCATTTGGAGTCACGTGTCTGGTCATCAGGTCCAATATATACAGTACTTTCTTTTAGCTCTGTTTTTGGTCTCCACCAACTCCAAAATATCTGATTCTTAATCTACGAACTGCTTGAGTATGTTCACCAGTTAGCTGCTAGCACCAAGCCTCGTCCACAAACAGTGTGTACACACAATTCTGTGCTGAAACCGTGTATACAAACAATTTATGCACAATTTTATTCAATATTCTGTATCAATATTTTCTTACCTTAATTTGTTCATACTCTGTGAACAAATTTAATACTGCCTCACCCCATGTGTATGAACAAATGATGAAGGCCTGGCTGGCTAAAAAATGCAAACACATTTTAACTGAAACTATATTAATTAAAAAGGTTTTAATAGCTAATATAATTGATTAATATAATTTAAGGCTATAATGATTAATTTACTAATGCATTGACCAAATGTAGCATATTAAATAAACATGAAATTAATGCCCTGTCATTCTGATTAATCACAGTTTTAATTGAAATAAATTAAATTTAAAAAACTGTTCTAGTTTATAAGTATATAGAGAAATGGGGGCATGGCAGCAGGCTACTTGAAAACCACTGGAATGCGCCTGTCATTTTAGAATGATTCTGATTTACACTAACATACACACAATAGAAAGAACAAAATTGGCTGGTGTCATGAATATGATGGTAATGTCTCCTGCACTTATTTTGTGCACAAGGTAAGAACATTTCTATGCGCATGTTAGTGAATAAGGTCCACTGCCTGTCTGCCGTTTGGTGTTTACAGTCTTATGCAAAAGTTTAGGCACCCCTTGATACATAACAGATTTTGGTGATTTTTTATTTGAACAGATGTTAACACAGTTTCTCTTGGAAATGGAAAAAATGCACAATATTTTCTGCAAACAGTGATGCATAGTTACTTCTTATGCCATAAATTGAACAAAAATAAAAAATAAAAACATTATTATGGCATGGTGCAAAAGTTTGGGCACCCTACACAATCAGTACTTAGTAACACCTCCTCTGGCAGATATCACAGCTTGCAAACGCTTTTCATAGCCAGCTAAAAGTCTTTCAATTCTTGTACTTGGGATCTTCTCCCATTCTTCCTTGCAAAAGGCTTCTAGTTCTGTAATATTCTTTGGTCGTCTTGCATGCACAGCTCTTTTAAGATCTACCCACAAATTTTCAATGATGTTTAAATCAGGGGACTGTGATGGCCATTCCAAAACCTTCAGCCTGCGTCTCTTGAGGTATTCCATAGTGGATTTCGAGGTATGTTTAGGATCATTGTCCTGTTGTAGAAGCCATCCTCTTTTCAGCTTCAGCTTTTTTACAGATGGTGTGATGTTTGCTTCCAGAATTTGCTGGTATTTAGTGGAATCCATTCTTCCCTCCACCCGTGCAATGTTTCCTGTGCCACTGGCTGCAACACAACCCCAGAGCATGATAGATCCACCCCCATGCTTAATAGTTGGCAAGGTGTTCTTTTCATGAAATGCTGCTCCTTTTTTTCTCCAAACATGCCTTTGCTGATTGTGTCCAAAGAGTTCTATTTTAACTTCATCAGTCCACAGCACTTGTTTCCAAAACGCATCGGGCTTCTGTAGATGTCCTGTTGCATACTTCAGACGTTGGATTTTATGATGGGGACGCAGATAAGGTTTTCTTCTGCTGACTCTTCCATGAAGGCCTTGTCTGTGCAAGCATCGCTGCACAGTGGAACGGTGCACCACCACTCCTGAGTCTGCTAAATCTTCCTGCAGGTTTTTTGCAGTCAAATGGGGGTTTTGATTTGTCTTTCTGACCAGCATACGAGCAGTTCTGTCCGAGAGTTTTCTTGGTCTTCCAGATCTCATCTTGACCTCCACAGTTCCCCTGATCTGCCATCTCTTAATTACATTTCTTACTGTGGAAACTGCAAGCTGACAACGCTTTGCTATCTTCTTGTAGCCTTCTCCTGCATTGTGGGCGTCAATAACTTTCATTTTCAGGGTCTTACACAGCTGCTTAGAGGAACCCATGGTTGCTGGGTGTCCACAAGTGTGTGCACAAGGTTTGAAGAGTCAAAGTATTTGTACAGCTTTGAAATTGGCATTTACCAATGACAGCTGTTGCTGTGCATCAGATCTAACGAGCTGATTAAGGTCTGATACCTTGTGAGAGACTTTGAGACTCTGGAACTCTTAGGGTGCCCAAACTTTTGCACCATGCCATAATAATGTTTTTATTTTTTATTTTTGTTCAATTTATGGCATAAGAAGTAACTATGCATCACTGTTTGCAGAAAATATTGTGCATTTTTTCCATTTCCAAGAGAAACTGTGTTAACATCTGTTCAAATAAAAAATCACCAAAATCTGTTATTTATCAAGGGGTGCCTAAACTTTTGCATAAGACTGTATAAACCTTCCATTTCAAGACTGACTGACAACTGATCTCGACACTTTATTGGTGCCATTTAGGTTTCACAGGATTACTGACACAAGATTTTTTTCCCCAACTGGACATACAGTAGTAGTGGTGGACAAACAGAGGAAGAAGGCCGTAGTGATAGATGTACCAATCCCAAGTGATAGCAACATCAGGAAGAAGGAACACGATAAGCTCGAGAAATGCCAAGGGCTGAAAGAAGAGCTAGAAAAGATGTGGAAGGTGAAGGCACAAGTGGTCCCCGTGGTAATAGGAACACTGGGGGTAGTGTATTGCGCACTTTTATTTTAAAAGTAAAAGTACCACAATGTATGCATTGCAATGTCGTCTGCAATGTATGCAGATGACTTTGTGATTTTTAGTCCCAGCTCAGCAGGTCTTCAGCAGCTCTTGAATGTGTGCTCAGTGTTTGGGGAATGTCACGATGTCAAGTATAATGCTGTCAAAAGTCTCATTATGATATGCCGTACAAACGAGGACAGGTCCCTTGTATTTCCTTCTTTTAAGTTATCTAATAATATTTTAACTGTGTGCGGTGAAGTTAAGTATTTGGGTCATGTTATTAATGATTGTTTGTCTGTTGACAGGGATATATATTGGCAGTGCTGCATGTTATATGTACAAGCTAATATACTGGCACGGAAATTTGGTACATGCTCGGTGGGAGTAAAACTGGCATTGTTTAAATCTTATTATACTTCCTTGTACACTGCCCATTTGTGGTGTAATTATAAAAAGGGCAGTCTTTGGAAACTGTCAGTAGCTTACAATGACGCCATAAGGATATTATTGAAAAAGCCTAGATGGACGAGTGCAAGTGATTTGTTCGTGTCATCTCGAGTTAGTACATTTTCCGCTGTTTTAAGAAACCTGGACCTTGAGTCTGTAATAAAGTGTCATTCATTCATTCAATTCTGGAATTGTCTGACCAGATGAAACAAATACAAGTTAAGCCAAACATTCTTGGCTCCTTTAATATACAGATTTTATTCTTTAATTACATTTTTAAAAACTGTAATAAATGTTAGGAAATAAGGTGTTAAACTTGTGCATTCATTTGTACTTGATTATACATATTAATTGATATGATTGCATATTATGTAGCATTAAATTCTGTCATCGCCATATTATGCCAATAACATGACACTGAGTGACAAAATGTTTGAGAGGTACAATAAACATCTTCAACAAAATGAATATTGGTTTCTACATGAGAACACCCTTGCCACCATATTTTGTAAGTTGTCAGGATGATTTTGATGCCCCTTTATCCATCATATTATTTTTTGTATTTTTCTCTGGTTTCAGTAAGATAATATAACATTTTGGAATAAAAGTGCAAATGAGCAGTCCAAAACTGGAGGCCAGAATAGCAAATATCTCAACAGCAACACTGAACTTCCCAGGAGAGCTGACATATGCTGGAATAAAAGTGATCCAGACTGCACAGAATATCAGCATGCTGAAGGTGATCAGTTTGGCCTCATTGAAGTTATCAGGCAGTTTCCGAGCAAGAAAAGCCAGAATAAAACATAAGATGGCCAGAAGGCCTATGTACCCAAGTACAGCCCAAAAGCCTACAGCTGATCCCAGAGCACACTCTAAGATGATTTTGTCCTTGAACTGGGTAAAATTCTTAAATGGAAAAGGAGGAGAAATAGTTAACCAGAGGATACATATAACAACCTGGATGAGAGTGAAAGCCACAACACTGAGTCTCTGCTGTGCAGGCCCAAACCATTTCATCACATTACTGCCTGGAAGTGTAGCCCTGAAGGCCATTAACACCACTATAGTTTTCCCCAGAACACAAGAGATACAGAGGAAAAAGGTGATGCCGAATGCTGTGTGTCGCAGCATGCAGGACCACTCAGAGGGCCGGCCGATGAAGGTCAGAGAACACAGGAAACACAGAGTCAAGGAGAAGAGCAGCAGGAAGCTCAGCTCAGAGTT